TACTTCTTCCAGTGGTGTAGTTCTATGTTTGAGGCTCAACATGGTGGGGGGGGGGGGGGGGCAACACAATGTTGGTTGCCAACGGCTACAGCTGGTGGTCTGGAATGAAGTAGCCCCCCCTTTGCGCAATGGAGACAATTTACGGGGCATAGATCGATGGGATCCGCCGCACCTCCCTAACGCTCCTCCCGACAAATCTTCTGTGGTAATCTGCTACATGGTGTCTCCTTCCCTGCACACGAAGCTGTCACCCAGCATAACATACATGGGACAACGAAAAAAAAGACTGCGACGCCCCCTTTTCCTGTTCCAACCCGCAATGAGGCTGACGTCTGTTCAATGGTCGGCCGGTCGATGCTAAGAATTACAAAAAACACACACACACTCATACAACAGCAGTATCGGATTCACACTGCGCTCGGCCTCTCACCCGTACAGAAGTAGACCATCATTACACCCGTACACCCCTCCTCGCGAACTCACCGGGGTTGTCTGGGACGTCCGTTCGCTTGGGGCACAGGGCGTCGAACACGGTCCCCGCGGTGTAGACGTCGCACATGGGTAGCAGGTGCTTCCCGGCGCTCTTTTCAAGCCGGTATGTTTGTTGCCGTGCCCACGCATCCCGAACCAGACAAGCCACGGGGAAACGGAGAGGGGGGGGGGAGGGGGGGGGGGGCTCAGTATATCACACAGGCATACAGGGCCGTAGGCTTCAGGTACGCAAGCCGCCAGTCCAGCCCCACACAAGAACAAACAACAAGCACCGCAACAGGTCAACGGAAGGCACGCGAACGACTGCTTGCTGCCGACCACCGCAAGAACTTTGATTTTCGACCAAGCGCCGAAATAACCGCCGCCGGGACATGCTTGCGGCTAAACGCACAGGGACGGCCAAAAGGCGAGCGGTGCCAAGTGGGGAGGGGAGCGGGCTTACGAAGCGGTGTCCAGAGCTCGAGAAAAGAGTCTTGGGAGATGGGGCAGAAGGGTGCGTTGCGTTCGTGCGTGTGCGTGCGTGGCTGCTGAGCAAGAGTATCGCCAGCGCTACAGGGTGACAGCAAAGTTGATTTCGTCGTTGGCGGTGCGTGGCAACAACAGCGCCGACAGCACCGTCGGGATATTTTGTGAATGCCGTCAGGCGGCGCGTGATTGGCCGGCACACTTACACGCCCATATTTGTGTGCACTGTATGTCGAGGCCCGGGGATTCGTCTTGGGAGATTCTCGCTGGACTGCGATGGCAACCTGTCGAAACACTCAAGGTTTCCCACTACGCTACAACATCATTGATCAGAGGTATTGTAGGTGCCCCTCTCTGTCGATACGTGTGTCGTAGTAACTAGAACCTCCCCGCAACGCACCCCCACACCCTGGCCGCGGCGCGCTTCCTGCCTTCTACCAAACGCAGCATCTTTCAGGGAAGCACAATGTTTCCCGCCGGGGGAACTCAAGTTACCTCGCAGAACTCGCCCCTCGTCACTCCGCCGCCGCTGCCGCCGCCGACCAGCAGGGCGAAGGCCTCGTGAGGGTTGCTCAAGACCTCCTCCGGCGTTTCCAAGAGGCGCGCAAGCCCCTTCCTTCGCCGTTCTTCCGCCCTGAGCCTCAGCTCCCTGCCGCAGTCGGCGCGTGGCTCGTTCTTGCCACTACCGCCGCCGCCACTGCCGCTGCTTTCCGTGTACCTGCAAAGGCGCGCACCAAGAGAAAAAAGAAGAGCCAACGACCTTAAATAGACCGCCGGAACACCAAAAGAGAGGTACCACGCCATAAACAACGCAAGAGCAGCTGCACTCTTTTAACAAAACAAAAAAACGTCCTGCGCAGACCAAGCCAAACCAAAATCCCCCCCCGGCCGCCTCCCCCGAACCCCCCAAGGAGGGCACGAAAACAAGCTACTGCTGGCTCACTTTGAGAGAGCCTCGACCCACTCCGCTCGCTCCTCCGTTCCCCACGTGCTCAGGAACACCACCCGCCTCTCTCCCTCTTGCTGCTGCTGTGGCTGCTCCGAAGACGGTGTTCTCGGTCGGTCGGATTGCCTCGACTCCTGCTGCTGCTGCTGCTGCTGCTGCCCCCGCCCCCGACGTCTCCGCAGCTGTTCCTGCTGCTGCTGTTGTTGTTGTTGCCACTGGGCCTGCTGCAGCGCTGCTGGGTCACCGCCGCTATCGCGGTCGCCGTCACCGTGTTCAATTACATCGACCACGAACGGGCACCGCCGGTCCCCCCGTACCTTTCAGCGCGCACGAGGGAAACGGCTCTTGGTTCTTAGTGAGGGCCGAGAAAATAGGAACCCAAGATAAAAAGAAAGTAATGATACGATACAAGGGCATACAAACCATCATTACGATGCTTTATAAACCGTCATTTTCAAATTAAACCAACCGCCTTTTGTATATTTTTTCAGTTGTTGCAGGCAGGACTACTTGAGCACATTGCAGAGGAGTGGTCCCTGCATAAGGCCGCATAGCAGTACTGCCAAGGGATTTGGCCGACCTTGCGCCGCGCACCCGGCACCGTTCAGAGGATGACATAGCTTGGACAATCGATATGTACCCCGCGAGTTCACCAGCCTTAGACTACACGTGCAGAGTGACCGGATTTCTAACCCTAAGCCTTGGTCAACACAAAAGACCAAAAGAATAAATCGTACAGCACCGGTATGCATGCAAGACAGTTTCGACGGCACAAAACACTGGTGGGCACCAGCGCTACTCGGAGCAAGAAACGAGAATCATTTTTGATCTCGTCTGTGTCGAGTTATTTCACCGCCGCTACAGCATCTACTACAGGCGCCACAATACCACCCCCCATACCCCCCAACCAACACTACCGAGGGTCCAGCCACTCTCCGACTAAACATATTATTCTCTCCGTGTGTACGCTGTTACAAGTGATCCCTCCGGAGTGGGCTGGCTCGTGAGAGCACAGCAGTGTCATCAAGGACCGACGCAAGATGAAATCAAAATCAGGCAGCGGTGTGACGCTTCCAAAGCTCACGCAGCTGACGCGTTTTTCGACTCGAACAGCCTAGCGAACCTCAACGAGAACCAAAAAAGAAACAAAAATTAAACATCTGGATACGTTGCTATCACGGCTAAATTAACCCGTTACCGTACCTCGTCTTCCCGGAGGTGGTTCCTAAGCAAAACGCTTTCTGAAAACGAAACCCCTGCGCCGCGGAGGCAGAGGTAACCGTTCGGCACCTCCCAGGGGTCCGCGGGCACCGACAGGTACCACAGCAGCCGCCCATCATCCTGGGTAAAAAAAACAGCAGCCGATTGATCCCACGCGAGTCGCCACGAGAAGACACAGCAAGACACACACGTACACAGTACACAACAGTGGTTGATGAGATCACCGTCGAGGTGTTAAGGTTGCGATAGGTAAAAACATCAAAGCTTAAGGTTAGGGGGGTGAGATGGCACCATCGATGGACAAGTTGGAACGCGCGAAAACATCCCGTCTCGCTGTTTACAGTCTCGACACCCCGCCCCAAAAAAGGTTGAAAAATAATCCTCCACACTCCATCGCCCTTTCACGCTCCGGTAAGCCTTGGTATCCTCGAAACCTTCTAGAGGTCAGGTGAGGGGTTCGAATCCCGGCGTAAGCGAGCTTTTCTTGCAAAGTGAGTTTTTCTCTCGCTTCCGCTCCTGGCCTAGTGGATAGCGCTAGTTCGTGTGTACACAGAGGGAAGAGAGTGCTGAACTCTTCTCGCATTAAAAATCGAAGGCAAAGTACCGCAGGAGGGGAGGGTAGAGAGGGGCTCTTCTGTGTTACCACGAGTTGGAGTAAACGGCACTAGTGCTGTGAACGCTGATTTGAAGTAAAGACAAAAATAAAAAAAAAAAACAGAGCCCCACGCGGCCGCCGCTCACGCTCAACGGCAGCGCCGTTCTTCGTTTTTTTCGGCCTGCATCCCTTACAGAGCTAAAAGCGCTTGTGAACCACATAGCCGACGACACTCCAATGGCGCATGAACACGAGCCCCCCCCCACTCCACCCAGTGGATTCGCAACGGTACACACACACATACATGAAGCGCTGCGCCGGAGAGCGCCGCTCCGAGCCCCGACTCACCCTTAACACCACCCACCGGTACTCCCACACCCCCGACGACCCCCACGACCTCGCCGCCGCCCTCTTCCTCAGGAAGCCCTGCATCACGCTCCTCGGGGGCGACGCAGTGATCACCCTCACCCCCGCAGCCGCGACGCGGCCCCCGATCGCCGCCGTCTCCCCCCACGCCCCTCCCTGATCCTGATCCTCCTCCTCCTCCTCCTCCTCCTCCTCCTCCTCCTCCTCTTCCCCCTCCGGATCGCTCTTCCGCCCGCCCCTGTACCCCCACCTCCTCCCAAGCCTTGACGACCTTAGCGCTGCCGACGATTCTTCTCGTGCGTCGCCGGCTGTCGCCGCAGCTGTCATGGGCGATGGCGGTAGCGGCGGGGGCACCGACGGAGTCTTGCAAAGGCCGAGCTCGTGGGCGGTGGTAACCACGGCGAAGGCCGACAACCAGTCGAGCCTGGCGGAGGGAGAGGGCGCGCGGAACAGCTGCAGTCCGTCCGGCGCTAGAACCTAACGATACGGAGGGACGCCACACAAACATGTGGATACAAACGATTCCTTGACAAAAAAAAAATGGTGTTGCGAAACAGGTGTTTACGTATGTCACGGGTGCAGACTCATCTCCGAAAAAATATCGGGTGTAGGAGAATACAAGAACAGGTTATTCTTGCATCCAAACACACGTTAGGCGTCGTTTTCAGGTGTTGATAACTTCCGCTTTCGAGAGTTTCTTTTCGGCAAGCCTACCGTGTGGTGTCGTCTTCGATCCAGTTCTGACAGATACTCCATGTGTTTCGCTGGTCGGCCTAAGAACAAACAAAGGCCCACGACAATCCGCAATTGCGCCCCGTGCTTGGGTGACCGGCAAGCCTTCAAGGCAACAACAAACAACATGTTGGCGTATTTCTCCTGTGGATGGTAAAGGTCGGGGATTCAAATCCCGGTATGACTATCTCTGACAACGAGAACAGCAGCACAGTTGAGTTTGTTTAACAGGGAGAAAGACGAACCCCGGGTTCCGTGAAATAGTTGAAGACTGCAACGTGGAGATAATTCTGATGTGAGGCAGCGGACATCAGTTCCTCAGCAGAAAAAGTCAAGGTCGCACGGTGAAGGTAGGTAGGTAGGTACTGCCAGCGACGACGACCGAGAGGGGGTGATTCAAAATCACACTCGGCGACAGATTGAACGATCGCGCTGAAGCTCATTGCGGTTACATGTGGCTTGGGGGGATCAGAATCGACAACAATATCAAACCCGCAGCTATGCATGCTAGGTATCCGCAGGACGAGGAACGACCTACGTGGTGGCGAAGTGCCGTAACTCCCCGACAACAGGAGCCGAAGTGATCCATCAACGACAACCGTACCGATCAAGAAAAAGGCCAAGAAAACACCCACACACACACTCGAGATATCAAAACCCGCCACGGTGGTACATAACCACACGCACACACACAACCTGCTGCCCTCTCACTTACCGCGAAGCACTCCAACCACCACGCGTCCCCACCCGCTCCACCACCCACCGCTCCCGCACCGCCACCGCCGCTGGTTTCGTGAAAACCCGCGCCCCTCCCGCCGCCACTACCGCTACCGCCACCACCGCCGCCGGCTCCGCCGCTCGTCCCGCCGCCGCCGCCGCCGCCGCCGCCTCCAGTTGCGCCGGAAACGGCGGTATCCCCTCCCAGAAACTGCTTGAGGCTTTCTCCGTGTATGAGAGTGCAGTCGCCGCCGACTCGCATCGTCTGGTTTTTGATCCCGAGGCCGGGAAGGATCACGTATTTTCGGGAGGGAGCTAGGTAAATATGGTGGATTTCGATTTTTTGAAGGCGTGCGCTTGAGTCGACCGTGGTAGGGAACTAGCTGTTTTAGAAGCTGAAATCAAACCATCAGTCTAGTCATCTTAAACCATTAGACTATTTAGTCAGCGCTGACTAGTCTAAAATGCTTTTGATTTCGGCTTCTATGGGGAATCGGGATGGTGTGGCCCAATCTTCGCGGCACTGCAGGACAACGGCCCCGCTACAGAGGCAGCAAGCGGGGTGGTGAAGAAGGCCAAGCCGGTCGGGTGGCTGTTCTCACTTTTTCGCAGCAGCATCAGCACCCAAGGGCCGTCCCTTGTCTGGAGGAGACGTTTTATTTAGTGCAGTACACATATCTCGAAAACAACAACACAACAACAACAATCTCAACAACCGCAACCCAACGCCCGTACGTCGACGGGCACAGCATCCTCTACCCGAAAGGCAGCAGGTCACCGCAACACCTTGGTGTTATGTGGCATGTCCCCTTGACCACGAATGGATCATCCACCGACTAACGTACCTTCACGGGGGACTGCCCCTGGATGTCCTTAGACGGGAAGGACGAAAAGCTCCCGTCCTCTCGAAGCACGTAGAACAGCCCGGTCCAAACGCTGTCACCTGCCTCCAAGAATCACCGTCGCGAAGCGGGGGGTGCCCGTGATTTACGCACAGGTAGGCGTAAGATGGCGATGACGACGGCGGTGGAGACGGGGAAACAAATGTTCACGGCTCGGCTCAGCGGAGGGCCAAACTCTACGTGAGGGGTTGTACACGGTCCCACAACCCGATGATGATATTCCAGCGATTGAAAAAGCGAGCACACGGTACGGTATTCCAAAAAAGGGGAAGGGTGTTATCTCGGTGTTGGATGGGTAGATCGTTCTGAGAAGAAATATGTATACCGTATATGACACAAGATAACACACCCCCTGGGCCGATTTTCAAAGCTCGATTTCTCAACAGCAGGAAGAGTCACAGCGCCGAAAACGGCGGCGTTGGAACCGTCTCGTCGAGAGGTTTTCGAAAATGTATTGTTTCGTTTATGCATCCTCTTCGTCGTGGAGTAATCGAGCTTTGAAAATCGGTCCAGGGGGTGTGTTATCTTGTGTCATATACGGTATATATATGTGTATATCACACGGCAGGTGTTGTATCTTTCTGTACCATGATGCAGGGGAGGTGCAGTATCCCGTGCGTGTGGTTTCTTCTGCCACTTCCGGAAGAAAACCGTGAACACAACCCTACCAGCACATACGGTACGGTTATCTCCCATCATCCCCCAAGAGAAAAAACAGAAACGCTCAAAGCGTAGTTCAAGCATACACCGAGATAAACAAACAAAAAAAATCAAACACAGGAACTCCTATACCAATCTACCTGTCTTGAGCCTGAGGTAACCTTGCCAATACCGCCTGGTCGCTCCCCTGTCTATCGCGGCGTGCAGCTGCCGGAAGGCGAGCGTGATCGGCCGTCCCCTGGCGCTTATCCTGCGCACGAGAGCGACACGAAGAGCAGCACGGCACGGCAGCGGGCCATGAAGAGCTACAACAAGTGTGTAATACGCTGTGATAGGGTTCCTGTCCTCCCCTGTCGACCCGCCACTCCACTCCGGAGTGGGAAGCGATGCCGACCCCTGGGACGCACACGTAGTCCCGGACACCCGAAACGACGCAAGAGAGAAAAAACAGCCGACCCGAAGACGTCCCTTTACCGCAGAGTCGATCGAGCGCATGACCGTACGCCACCGGGATTAAAAAAAAAAAAAAAAACACGCGCCGAATATTTCGACGAATTCTGCGCCACCAACAACAAATGCTGTGACGTATACGACAAAACCTAAGTGCTGTGCAGGAAGAAACTCGACAAACAAAATCCAACCTTCCGCAATTTGCCGAATAAATTTTATCCCTCGCCGCCTTCGGTTTCCCCGCCATGCGTCATTTCCCCTTACCTTCCGATGCATTCCTCGTATCGCAGCCGGAGAGTATGCTCCCCGGCGACGGCGATCAGCACGGCCGCGGGCGGCACCCCGGCCAGAGCGGCGGGGCTCTCTTCTCCCGAGGGCGTCTTGACCAGCTGATAGTGTTGCCGTCGTCGTAGATGCCGTTGTTGTCGTAGTAGTAGATACCGTAAATGCCGTTGTGGTCGTAGTAGTAGATGTCGCAGATGTCGTTGTTGTTGTTGTTGTTGTTGTTGTTGTCGACGTCGTCGTAAATGTCGTAGAGGTCGTTGTTGTTGTTGTCGTCGTCGAAGATGTCGTAGATGTCGTAGATGTCGTAGATGTCGTAGATGTCGTAGACGTCGTTGTTGCCCGAAATCATGACACACCGCACGCGTTTTCGAGGGCTGAACGTGATGGGAATTCATGAACACCAAGCTACGCTCGTTCTTCCCGGAGAAAACGCAACATCAACCGTGTCGAAAAAGCAAGGCCGCGTGTGCGCTCGGAGGCAGAGCAGCTGCCAGATGACGAAACTTCCTTCGGCTTCCCTGCCCAACAACCATTCCGACCCGTCCCATCACTCACCTCGTGTACCACGGGAATATCGTGAGTCTTGCGGATTCGCATGCCGACGCTGTGAGACACGAATGTCGCCTTGCATGTGAGTCCGCGGGGGGGGGGGGGGGGCCCCCGGAAAGGGGTCGGTTAACGTTGCTTGGCCCCCTTTTTCCCCTTCCACCCTTGGCCCCCCCCCCCCCCTTTTGGAAAGGAAGGGGGTTTCTCTTTTCCCTTTCCACAGGGAACCCCCCCACCTGGGGAAGGGTTTTTTCCCGGTTTTCCCTGGTTTTGGGGGAAAGGGAAACCGGGAAATCAAAAGGCTAAAACCGGTTTCACCCTTGGGGGCCCCCTTTTTAAAAATGGGGTTTGGCTAACCCAAAGGGAAATCCTGGTTTTTTGGGGGAAAACCCCAACCCAAGGGGGCTTGTTTAGTCCGCCCCGGGGAATTTTTTCTTCCCCCCAAAAAAAAAAACAAACCCCCGGGGGGGGGCCCAAACCCACGGGGGGAAAAAAAAACCCCTGAAAAAAATCCCCCCCTTTCCCTGACCCCACCAATTTTTCTGGTTTTTTCCTCC